AGCCAATAACTGTAGAATTATTTAATGCCCGGAGTAAAAATAAGAGAAATTGTATTTCAAACCCATCCTTCAGTATCTGTCAGCCTTTCAACCCTTATTTCACATTATTTAATGCCTGTTTGATAGCTCAAAGCTCACACATTAGCTTGTCAGTCTTGTCTCCCAGTTATAGCAATCCATAGGTTGCACTGACAAAATCCTCAGTCGTTTTAAACAAGTGTTGTGCCTTTTTTTTTTCAAAACACAATCCACAAAACACACTTTGCTGAAAACTAAATCTAAGAACCCTCGATCTGTCTTACTTTTCCATTTCCAAACTGTCAGACTGACAAGAGAAACAAAATGGTTGGCTGAAAGCAATGGGTTGTAAACACACAATAATAATGACGTATAATCACCCTGGGCTACTGAACTTCTCTGCGAGGGAAAAACAATAAAGCAACAATAAAGCAACATTAAACCCATCAAAGCCTTTAAAAACAATGCACCACATCCTAGGCCACAAAATGTACTTTTGGGAATGATGGTGGGCAGACGTTTGTGGCTCTAAAGTCCAGTCACAGATCTCCCATTTTAAAAACTAGACCTCTTAGAAATCTAAACTGATATACTCTCATCTTTTTGGAATAGGAGAACATTGATATGTATCGACATTTATTTTGAGGCTGAGCCCTGGAAAGGGTTTCAATCCTTGTGGCACCAAACTCTCCACTTTTGATGTAATCCAGTGAAAGACGAGGAAGTCCTTGGCAGCAGCGTTAGAGCTGAATAAGCACAACTGCTTGGAAAATAAGCTCCAGGAGAAGTTAAGTCTAGGAGCTCTCCAGCTGAGATGGACATGCATTCCAGGAATACTAAGAGATGAGGCTCGTTTCTTCAAAGAGTCAAATCGGGTTACTTTGATGGTCATTTTAGGATACTTGATATCTCCCCATCTGTTCTCCTCAAGCCTCGGAGCAGCAGCGCTGTTGGTTAAGCTTTACTTTGTGCTTAATCCCATCATACAGCTCGAAGTTGTAGTTCTCCAAAGTGGTGGATGAGCGTGACGTCAAGCCGCCATACGAGCAGGTGCAGTAAAGAAGGAGGCCAGCGCACACGGCACCTAGAAGAACGCCCAGAGAGCTCATGACGATGATGGTCAGGAGAATGGGGTCCAGAGAATACAGCCAAGTGTTGTCCTTATCGACCACACGTGTCACCGGAGGCTCTGATGGCGTTTCGGCTGTGCTCCACTCTGGAAACTGGAAACCTACAACAACAAGAGGAAGGGAGGAGCACATAAAGAGGACGTTCTTGACAATCTCATGCACATAAACTTTTGTTTTTGGACTTAATACAATGGTAATATCATGGTAGTCTTTGAAGGAAAATGATCTCCCCCAAAAAATATTGATGGTATTAGATGGTAGCCTTCCAAAAAAGTACTGTGGCAGTGCCATGGTACAGTGAAGCATCAGACGGTACTATTTTATACCATGATACCGAAATTCAGCTACCATGGTTTTAAATGGTAAACCATGCTAGTTTTCAATAAAACCACAGTACTAACATGGCAAACATTTCTTTGAGTGAAAAAGTACACAGATTTTGTGATACTAACATAGGGTGACCATACGTGCCATTTTCCCAGGACGCGTCCTGGGAAAATGGCACATATGGTCACCCTAACTAACATGGTATTATTTGAGGTATTTTGGAGTTTTAGAAGAATACCATCGTATTAACATGGCACATGTCCAAAAATCACAGGACTACCAGGTCCAAAAAAACATTTTTGTAAGTGAAAAAGTACCATGGTACTACCATGGTTTTTGTGTTAAGACCATGGTATTCTTTAAAAGAATGCCATCTCCCACAAAATATATAGTGATTGTATCAGATGGTATAGTTTCAAAAAGTACTGTGCTGATACCATGGTAGAGTGATAGCATCATATGGTAATACCATGGTACTTTGAGATATACGTACCATGATATTGAAATTAATGTACCACATTTTGTATGGTAAACCATGGTGCTTTCAAGAATACCACAGTATGGCACGTTCAAGACACAATGGTAGTACCATGTAATTGAAAAAGGACAATGGTATTAACATGTTTTACCATTAACATGTTTACAATTTATTATTTGAAGTATTTTGGAGTAAATACCATGGTACTCCAAATTACTTAAAAGAATACCATGGTATAACCTTGGTAAATTAATAAAGTAATCAGTGCAATTACTGTACTTACATGTTATGCTTAGAATGTTTTGTTTAACACTACAGCCTTTGAAGGCTAAACAGAAGTTTTTGTGTTTGTTTTCCCACACAGTATACTATGGAGGAAGATACTAACTAATGGCTTGGTCTGTGGGAGAATACTGTCGGCATGGTTGTTTTCAGCTGACAAAACTAAGCTGTAAACTCTTTTGCGGCACCCTGTGCCTTGCTAGCGGTTGCATTAGGCTTAATTGGGCTGCTTTTGACAGCGAGCTGATGCCAAAACTCGCACCAGCTGAGCTGCTTTTGCACTTTGACTGATATCTGTTGCATTTTGTTAAAGCGTTTGCCCTTTTAGTTCCAACAAATGGCTTCTGAGGTGATTGACAGCTTGTGTAGAGTGTAAGCTAAACAGACTTCATTACATTTTATTAGAGTAGGGGGAAAATGAGAAAAAGATGGAAGACATCGATAAAGGAAGTCAGGGAGAGTGAAAGAAAGACTGACGGAGGGGGGTGACAGTCTATAAGGATGAACAGATTTCGGGTGGGTAATTAACTCGTCCTTGTCTTTTTTATTTATTTATTTAAGAGCCAAAACAAAGACATCTTTATGAGTTAGATGGATTCCAACTGTGTGATAGCGGGAAGGGAAGGGCGGAAAGTCTGATAACCGGAGATGTTGTTTTTTTGGTTTTTTTTGCCTTTCTGCAGAAATGCGGGGTGAGGGCGATGCGAGTATGAACAAACACGTACATACCCACACAAACACACTGTAGAATGTCAGCTCAACCCTTACAAACATATGCACGGATGCACTGTGGAGCTCCACAGTTTGTGCCAAAAAAATAATGGAATGGAAAGTAGCATTCGCAACCCATTTAATTACATAATGTGGTGTATTTTCAAATAAACATTGATTTGACAGATAACGTGCATAGACAAATCATTCATAATAAGACCAGAAAAAATACATTATTGAAGTAATTATCTGTTTTTGACTAATCTCAAAACTTTGAGGGGGAAAAAAATACAATAGATGAAAGATTTCTCATTCCTGGTTCCCTTTCTTTGAACTTGGTTAGAATAAATAGCCTGCCAGGAAGCAGTCATATACTATTGTATGTATGTAGTAGTGGGAACTAACCTGCATTTATGTGGTCCTTCCCATTGAAGAGACGCCCATTTCCGACCGCTGGTTTTTTAACTGTGGACAGAAATGTAAACATTGTATTGAAATATATAATATGACACAAAAGAATGTGTGTTATGGTCAAAAAGCGCTCAGAATGATTAATAATGATATATGTATTAATGAATATAAGTGTGCATTCTTGAATTAACAAACTTCAGTACACAATAGGGCATTAGAGTAATCTTCACATCATAACATTTGATTATTCAGAATTCATATAACTAGCTCTAAACATGTCAACAATACACAGTAACTAACTTCAACAAACTTGCTAATTTACACTAATGTCTGCTATAATACAATAACCTGTAAAACAGAGTTTGTGCAACTCTAAGTAAATAAATAAGTATATTTTGAGACTTGAGGCTAAGTAATAAATGATTAAAGGGTCACACGATATGTAACATAATTACAGAGTCCCCATGAGCAAACACGTACATACCCACACAAACACACTGTAGAATGTCAGCTAAACCCTTACAAACATATGCACAGATGCACTGTGGAGCTCCACAGTTTGTGTCCATAATGGGGAGTCGTGGCCTAATGGTTAGAGAGTCGGACTCGTAACCCAAAGTTTCCGGGTTCGAGTCTCATACATGAATGTACAGCGCTCTCTCCCACCTTCAATACCACGACTGAGGTGCCCTTGAGCAAGGCACTGCTCCCCGGGTGCCGCAGCAAAAATGGCTGCCCACTGCTCCGGGTGTGTGTTCACGGTGTGTGTGTGTTCACTGCTGTGTGTGTGCACTTTGGATGGGTTAAATGCAGAGCACTAATTCCAAGTATGGGTCACCATACTTGGCCACATGTCACTTCACTTCACTTCACAGAGTACAGAGAATAACATCATGTGACCAACATAATTACTAATTGAAGCACAAAAGCATTTAAACATTAAACATTAGCAGCAAAAATAGGCAAACATCTATTGTTACTGCTGTGATATAAATAGATGTAAAAAGAATTGAGGATTAGAAAAATAAGATTTTATTGTCACATTTTAAAAGCAAGTTTTCAAGACACAAATTCATCAAGCAAAAAATATTCCGTTCACATTCACATTTTAAACAATTTTCTAATTTCAAAGTTGAGGTATAGGCTGACCACAGTTAGAAGGTACTTTCATAAAGCAAAGTGCATTATCATCATCATCCTCATTATTATGATTAAATTCATAGTCTGTATCAGAAGCATCACCACCACCACCAGCTAAGTAAGCTTTGCGATGCAATAAAAGGCCCATAACTTTCAAATGGCTTTATGGATCAGGTCGCTTTGTTCCAAAAATGTCCAAGTCAGAGCCCAATGTGTCTAAAAGCAGAGAAATCAATGTGAGAGCTTGCGCACCACGGATGTGAAGGCGGTAGCCTGATTGGATCCATTGTGAGCGATCTATTCTACCCAACTCCCCACCTCCGAGGAGAATGCTGTCGACTGTTCGACAAGCCCTGAGATGCCAGTGTCCAAATGTACAGTTAGCATGAGTCATTTGGGTCCGAGCAGACATCGGCAGGGGTGTGAACATCAACCTCAATCCTCCGCTCTTTGAAAAATAGACTGTTTTGCTTTATTAGAAGCTTCTCGGTTAGGTATACGTGATGCATTTAAGAGCCCTAGAAGAATGGCTGTTTGGCATCACGCCTCGCTGGGTGACGTGTTGACGGCGTTCTCGAGAGAGCACTCGCACTCATTAATGTGGTTTCCCGAGTCGACGAGAGACACGGGGCGGGAGACGGAACGCCTTTAGCAGCTTTAATAAATGGTATCTGGTCCATTAACTAATTAAAAAATATTAAGAGTGAAGAAAGAAGGGGGGACACGGTTTAGGGAAGAAAAGAGCGATAAAGTGGCTGCTTTAAAAGCACATTGCATGACGGTGCCAAAACATCTCTTACCACCTCACAGCAGGAAATGGCATTAAAAAGCCCCTCAGGAGCCAAGGGTCTTTATCCTTTTATTTCCATTTTGAACAGCTCTATACTTCTTATATCGACATGAAGACCTTTGAAATGCTTGTTCTAGATCCGCCGAATATTCTTAAAGCCATAGTTCATATGAAAATTATAATCCGGTCATCATTTACTCAAGTCATTCCAAACCTGTATGCCATTCTTTCATATGTGAAAGACAAAAGGAAATGTTTACACGTTTTCTATAAAATGAAAACACAAAAGCTGTGTTGAACAGTGTAAATGCCAAACCACTGTCATTTGCTGTCACTAATGTCAAATTTTCCACCGTATTTGATTATATGACAATGCAAATTAGATTTGAGTAAATCATGACTTTATTTTTGCTCACATAAATCTATGGTTCTATACAAACTACATTTATGATATATATGGAGAGGTCTTTTCACTTACATAAAGTTGCAGCATGAAAATTCTTTAAAAAATTTCCTTTTGTCTTACACAGAAGAAAGGAAGTCATAACAGTCTGAAATAACATTGCAGTGAGTTTTCATTTTGGGGAGACCTATTCCTTTAAAACAGTTACCACTTTGGACATTTGTACTAAAGGTAATACCTTGGAGTAGCATTTCAATAGTATATGATAATCAAATGGTACTGCCACAGTATGTTCGTGACACACCCCTGTCCAAATACAGAACTGATTAATATAACCTATAAAACTGAATGACAACTCAATTCAGTAAATGATTCAACATGGCTATGAAAAAGCATAAGGCGATCTTGGACAGCATTCACTGCTAATCACTCCTGAAGCTTCACGATGCATCAGTGAACCAAAATTGCTACCAGGTGTTGATATCTGCACAAGTTCTCTCCCACCCCAGCGCTCAGTGCTTCTTCATAGCAATGAGACGGAGAAAGGAAACAGCTGTCTTTGTTTATGGGACTTGTTTTTGGAGCCTCCACACCAGCAAGCGTTTGCTCAGAATAACACGGCAACACAGTTTCGGGTGATCTTTGGGAAAAAAATGTGAGAAATGCGAGATAGAAAGGAATAACCTAGATACTGCCACAGAGAACACAGAAACAAACACAAAACATGAAGACTCTCTTGCTTAATCCCTCTTTCCCATAATTCTCTCATCTCATTGGTGCGCCATCCCTCCATTTAAGTTGAGCACATCGTTGATATAAAACCATGCCTAATAAAATGTTTAAAGTCAACATGAAAGAACATTTGCAATGCATTTTAGTTCCATAATGAAAAAACTGTTAGATGGGACTTCTTCAGTGAGAATTGATTGGATGGTGAAAAGTTGGTGTTTCATACAAGGATAGAGTCTGAAATGTGAGTTTACACATTCTTCCTGCTACTTTCAGTGAGGCTTTTTAATTGCGAATCCCAATGTCAATGCTTATTAGTCAAATCTGTTTTTGTTTGTAATTACTGCACTCTTTATTATGTTATTGACGACTGGCATTAATTTATTGTGGTAAATATTGGCAAGGTTTTAAGAAAGGCTGTAGAAAGGCTTGCAGCCTAAAACAAGTGTTGCCAATAACATTAACCAGTAATTGGTATGATCTAAGTTACATCAGTGGAAAAAATAAACTCATTACACAAGCATTTTTCTCTTTGTAATAACAATGCATTGATCAACTGTTCACAATAAGACCAAGAAGATATGTTAAGAGACTCAATTTTGATTTCATGTTGACTTTAAAGGCAGTGTTCATTATGACAGCATATGTTTATATCATCTTAGTTGGACTCTCCATTTATCAGACTTAACTCAAGTTGTTTACATGCAGAAACCTTTTAAGCAATACTTCACCTTCCCTTATTACTAATTAAATCATGCTTGCTTTGTGTTCAAAAAGTGCTAAGAAGCACATTCTCAGTAATGGAGCCTCCGCCCGTATGCTTTAATTTATCTGAAAGCTTCATGTTCTCTCTTTCACCAAAGGTCTGTTCCCATGTTCTGCTATAATAAGGTAAAGTACTCGTAATCAATGTCAGGGACTAGTCAAAGTGCAAACATTGTGGCATGTCCACAACAGCTCTGAACTCGCCGATGTTCTGACCTTGTCCAATCACATTGATTTAACATAAGTACAGCACATTGGATCAAAGTCAGTCCAGGATCAGTGATTGAGGTCACTGGATAACACGTTCATCAAGAGGCCAGATACAGATTTGCTCAAGTTCCCTCCAGATGAGTACGAGCTGGCTAGATGTCGTAAACAAGCTGAGCACACTAGTAAGACAGGGTCGTCAGTATCCAAGAAAGAAAAGAACAAGAACAGAACGAGGAAACAGAAAAATCGAAGTGTTGGGTTCATCTGGATGCATTCGAATCCAAGCATCTGAGAGCTTTCTTTGAGGTTCTCCTCCAACTCTTCAGTCTGAGATCTGCATTTGTCAAGGACTTCCTTCACAAAGTCAGCATTTGCAGGCAAACCTCTAAACCGTTAGTCCAGGTGTTCACCAGTAGGAATTCCCATCGCCCTTCTCAACCCATACAGTCAACTTGGGCGTCACCCCAGCCCTGTGCATGCCGCCGTTCGGGTAATGTGCATTGTGGGGGCTGTAGTAGGCCATTGTGGGTTGGTTCCTCCTGGCCGTAAGATGGCGACAGCTAATGGCCATGACAATGACAATGAGCAGGAACAAGATGGCTCCTCCACCAGCCATTATGTAATACCAGTTGGGCAAAACGGGTGGTACTGACAGCGTATTTATTGTTGGCTCACTCTTGCCTGGTAGGGCTCCCCCTGGTGGAGAGATATACAAACTGTGAAACACGCCACACTACTGCTAGGTTCAAAAGCAAACACACAAATGCCATGAAAGATGCTGCATTGACTGTTTTGGCATAAGCTTCATGCTCCATGTTTCACTGTTCGAAATCACCATGAAATCACCTCTTTCCAGTAGTAGAATAGATGTTGAGGGATCTACGTTCGGTTTGCATAGAGGCATGTACAGTGAAACAATGGGAGTGAATGCAGTGCTGTTATGTAACGTGCTTTCAAATAGGCACCTGAGTCAGACTCCAAGCATGTTGCAAATAAAGACTGCCCCGCGCTCTAGTCCTGGGGAGTGGGAATGCCGTACTATAAATCGAACTGTTTTTTTTTCTTTTTTGCATGCTGGATTTTGGGACAAGTCTCTCTCCAGGACTACTCAAAGGGCAGGTGGATACATGACTACAAGTGTTGGTAGTTCTCCAAACCGTTATGTCTTAGGGGTACATTGGGGCTGCATTCAAAACAAGAGGCTGTTTTGCCAAGCAGAGGCACATGCATTCTGTTCTCCCTCAGTTTGGTCTTCTGGTTCTTGCAGAATGCTGACAGATAACTGATCACTGCAGGAGTTTTTAATAGGGCTGGGCATCGCCAATTTCGTCAATACATCTTGATGCACCACTATATCAGAAATAGATCACAACTGAGATTGAGAGAGACCCAATGTGACTGTGTGAAAGACTGATGATGTGGAATCTTTTTTTGCATTCTCGCTTCAATTTTGTCAAGCATGCCATGTTTTAAATTATGACATGCATTTGTGTGTAACTTCAGAAAAGTGGCTGAAAAGGGCAATAAATGTGTAACTTTTTCACCACTTTGATATTTTCGTTTGTTTTAGTGGGTTGGAATTTTGTAATATGATGATCACTGATTATCGTAGATTGAACTATAAGAATTATACGAATGCACACATAACTAACTAAACTAAAAAATAAATAATTAAGTTAAATAAAAACACAAAAAATACATAAATTAATACATTTAAAAAGATAATAAATAAATAATGATTGAAGTTAAATAAGTTAAAAAAAGTAAAAAAAATATATAAAAATAAAATAAAATAAAATATAACATCGATATATGGAACTAAAGTACATATGCAATATCTTTGGGGAAAAAGTCACTAAAGATTTGTGGCTAAATATGCATACATTCAGTTTCTCAGTTAAATTACAACCATTAAACCACCTACACTCCAAGAGTTGTAATAGGATCATTTTCAGACCAACCACAACGCTACTGGATGAGTTCAGCTGCTCTAGAAAGCCAACGTGAAGCGCCGCATGTTGACTTTAAATTGAAACAGCTTTGAGCAATTTCTGACACACGGAAAATAAAAACAACCCTACATCTCGACGAAAACAACCAAAATAGTAACAAATATTACGATCACACAACAAGTGGAAGCAGAGGTTCTTGTCAGCTCTGCTTTGTCTATCTCACAGATTAGTAAGCACCGTGTGAGAAGCGAACATTCAAGAAAAGAATGACACCAAAAAAAAAAAAAACAGTTCTCCAGGGACTCCAACGAGACATACCCCGAGTCTCTGATGCAATGCTGCCATCTGAGCAGAACCCGGCACAGTCAGACATCTTGTTATGCTATATTCAGCCACGGAGCATGACTGAGCCACTCATTAGGGAGAGCGACTTGGCTCTGCCTGTGTCTTTTATTGACACTCATTTCGCAAAAGAATGTGGAGGTGCTAATATGGCGGTAGCTTGTTTGGGTATTCCTGCCAATGCAAGAATCCAAGTTTTTTAAAAATACAATTTTGTAATAAAAAGAAATGGAGTGCCAAATATAAAAAAATAAAAACATCATACTGCTTCGGTGTCCAGTGTTGGACTGCAGTCCTGTCTATGTGTCCATACACACTGACAAATACTCGGTTCTCAAGGGATCCTACACCTTTCTCACAATTCCCATGCCTTTTCTAGTCGTTTGTGATTACAGATAAGGATTTTTCCTTAGAAAAAATCATTAGACTGAGGATTAGATTTTTTCTGTCAGGTACCAATTTTTTAAATGAATGCATTCTAGAACCATACAGGTGACTGCTTTTCTTCAACAGTTCTATAAAGAAGTAATTTATAGCTGTCCATGTTATATCTAAAATACATTTTTTTGACACAAGGATCAGCAGAGTGCAGGATCAGCTATTCATAAAAATAAAATGTGTTTTAGAGTTCAAATGTCTCCAATAAAACAAAAACAGGCATGTATTTACATATTAACCTATTAACTATTTTCCTTTTTTTTTCTAGCATCATTTGCCATCCAATGAGTCACAAAAGAGTTCCTTTAGCAGATCGATGTATATTCATTATATACATTTTCGACATTTTCTATATACTACGAATATAGTATAAGTTTCTTTAAAAATGTTTGGTAACACTTTAGTTTAGGGACCAGTTGTCACTATTAACTAGTTGCTTATTAGCATGCACATTACTAGCATATTGGCTGTTTATTAGTACTTATAAAGCACATACTAATGCCTTATATTTTAGACAGCATTTTAGATTCCTTAATCTTACCCCATACTACCTTACTAACTATTAATAAGCAGTTTATTGAGGCAGCAGTCGTAGTTAATAGTTAAAAGTGAGAATCGTCCACAAACTAAAGTCAAAACAAATGGTTAAACCCTAAAATATGTCCAAGGTTTTCCATAGGAATGCACAAGTGAGTGTTAGCATGGCTGAATGGAGAAGATGCCTCAAAAATAGACTGACAGGATACCCATCTCGTTTGGACTGCTACGAATAGCCAATGACATCAAACGATACAATATTGACACAACCTCAATGAGTTTTGAGAGCTACGACAGAAGGGATGATGTTCAGCGAATAATGACTGGAATATTTCATGCAAGAAAGAAAGTCATACAATTTTGAAGCGACATGAAGGTGCATTTTCTGTTATTTCTGAGGAACTATTCCTTGAATGCCAAATTGTGTCACATTGTGGCAGATCAGCCTCATGGGTTCAACAGCCAGCTGACAGCCCATTTTTGAGCATCTTTCCCAACTGGGACCTTAAATATGTCAAAAACAAATTGGTCACCTCAAATAACCGACTCAACCCCAGGCTCCTCAACTCGCTGCATAAATACCGCATGCTAGGAAGTAAAACGAACCCTAGATCATCGCTGTAAACAATAACTGCTGAGCAGGGCAGAGAGCAGGAAGTGCAAACATTCACACCCGAGGCAGAGAGTTTAAACTCACCGGTCATGTCTGGAGGGAACGCGGCAAAAGGCTCTAGATGAGGAAGAGAAAGATGGGGAGAGGCAGAGAAAGGGAGAAAGACAAACAGAGCAAAATGTTAATCTGCAATGTGAGGTTAACGGTGGGGTACATCCATGCATTACTGTATCTGATGCTGATGACTCTGAAAACATGCACTGAATTTCATAAAATTATGAATAACCTACATCAGAGACCACACAGGAAATCAATCTAAAGATGGTTCCTGAACTATTTAACTCTCAAATCAAAAGAAAACAGGACCATGAATATATATTATTAAATATATAAAATATATTACCGATAAACGCCACTTTAAAAAAAAAAGAAGAGCTGATTGCCGTGCATTATTCTCCACATATAGCGCGATCTGAACCCTAAACATGTTTTGTCAAAAAAGCCGGTTTTGTCCACTTTCAAGGCATCGCGAGTTCACGTTTTACTGCAGAAGCTGACAAGCGCCCTTGTTGTTTTTGAACAGAAGCCGATAAGTCCATTTTAGCGAATCAGCGCGCTGTATTCAGGTCAGGTGACAAGGCTACTTTCACTTTTTTAAAAGACGTGCTAGCTGAGAGGAGTTTCGTCAAAGCTGACTAAAAGTGATCGAGGATGGATAATTTCGACGAATTTGATGAACCTATGATATCTTCTTCAGGACGAAAAAGGAAAATAAAAGCTGAAACGTTTTCACGGAATCTTGCAAAAGCAGTGCGTTACAATGGTGAGGGAAAAGCTCCGTGTATTGCGTGTAACGTAATCATATCCATACAGTTTATGATCACAACAACAACGTTTGTCAGGCATCTACATTGTCATCTGAGGAGATTACAAAGATTAAACGAGTGTTTTTTTTTTTACTCTAAAACATGAAATGTGGAGTTATCTGCTTTTGCCAAAAAACGACTGTTGGAGTTATCTGCTTTTGCTATAAAACAAACGTTTAATATGTAAAAAAAAAAAAGCATACTTTCAATGAACTTTAATTTTGTAAATTACCTGTATTTAATCAAAACAGCCAAACTGCAGTTTGATTGATATTACTTGGAATGCGCAATAAAAAATGTGATTTCTGAAAAAAAAGTTAGCGGTTTTTGCAAATGAACTCTTCAAATACTACCATGATGTACAAAAGATTGACTTAAAAAAAAAAAAAATGAATCAAAAATTCTCCTTTTTTTTTTTTT